AGGCCTGACCCGAATGTGACAAGCGCTTCCGGCTCCAGGCTGCATTAGTCAAGCACCTGAGGAGTCACACCGGGGAGCGACCCTACAAGTGTGCTGAGTGTGGGGCCGTCTTTGCCAGTGTCTCCTCCCTGGCCCGGCACCGCCGGAGCCATGCTGGTGAGAAGCCCCACTGCTGCCCCGAGTGTGGCAAGAGGTTCGGGCAGAGCAGCGCCTTCGCTGAGCATTGCCGCACCCACACTGGGGAGCGCCCCTACTGCTGCCTGGAGTGCGGCCGGGCCTTCGCTGGCAGCTCCAACTTCCTCCGGCACCAGAGGATCCACACCGGGGAGCGGCCCTACCCGTGCCAGGACTGCGGCCGCACCTTCCGGGTCAGCTCCAACCTGGCCAGGCACCAGAGGACTCACCACCAGGGGCTGACGGCCACTGACTCTGGAGATTCTCACTTGCTGGGGTGGGCAGGACACAGCTAGGACTGCTGGGGCATGGGTTAAGGTGGAGCTGAAGGCCGGGGGGGTGTTGGCTGGGGGTGTTGCCATGGCAGGTGTAGGCCAAGGTGGAGCCAAAGGCTGGGGCTGTTGCCATGGCAGGTGTAGGCTGAGGTGGAGCCAAAGGCTTGGGCTGTTGCCATGGCAGGTGTAGGCCAAGGTGGAGCCAAAGGCTGGGGCTGTTGCCATGGCAGGTGTAGGCCAAGGTGGAGCCAAAGGCTGGGGCTGTTGCCATGGCAGGTATAGGCCGAGGTGGAGGCTGGGGCTGTGGCCATGGCAGGCGTAGGCCAAGGTGGAGCCAAAGGCTGGGGCTGTTGCCATGGCAGGTATAGGCCGAGGTGGAGGCTGGGGCTGTGGCCATGGCAGGCGTAGGCCAAGGTGGAGCCGAAGGCTGAGAGTGTTGGCTGGGGCCGTGGTGGGCATAAGCTGAGCTGGTGAGGGGACAAGGCAGGAGCAAGTGACTGGTGGCTGGTCTCTCGGCAGCCCTGAGTCGAGGAGCAGGATCAGATGGCCTCAGGGAAGACGGCTCCTGCATCCTGCCACATCAGCCCTGTTCCCTGCCATGGTGCTGAATTCCCTGCCCAGCTGGAGGCGCTGCCTCCCAAATACGTCTCCCGCCATGACTGCCAGCTTAGCCAGGCCTGCTGGGGCAGAGCCCTCTCCTGTCATTGTCCCGAGGAAGAGAGGAACAGTCAGCTTCTCTCTCAGGGCTCAGAGGCGCCCCTGGGGCAATCCCACTCCAGGATAGCTGCCCTTCATTGCTGTGTAGACCAGCGTCAGGCGGGCGGGACCTGCCCTCAGTGCTGCACTTCGACCAGGGGTCTGTGCCACTGGCAGCGGATTGGGTACCAGCTTTATTGAGACTAAAAACGAAAACCCCGCCCCTCCCCCATTGCTGTGGGGTTTGTTGTTACCAGGTCCAGTGTGGGGCGGGCCGACACTGAGCTCTGAAGCTGCATGCTGAGCCATATTCATCCTACTCGCGCTTTTCACATCGTCCTAAACATTGCTCCCCTTGGAGTCGCTGTGGCTCAGGCACCGGCTGCAGGCTCATCAGACGTTGGCTCTCCAGGGTTAGCTCTGACGTCTGGAAGGACCCTGCACAATAGGTCTTTCCCCAGGCTCCCGACCTTGCGCCTGAGTACCCAGCTGCTGGCCTCACATGCTGGGGGCTCTGTTGCTGCCCCATGTACCAGATTTCCGTCTGCCACCCCATGCCGCAGGAGTGGCCCTGCGTGCTGGGTCCCAGTTTGAGTCCTGTATGCTGAGGGCCTTTGCTGCTGGCTGCATGTGCTGAAGGTTTGCTCCCAGCCTCAGCTTGGGGTGGGGGTGACATGGGTAAGAGGGCTTAGCCCTCCCTCATTTTTTACAAATGTTCTTGCACCACTGCCTGCACTCCAAAGCCCTCGAACCCAGAGGCCTCTGGGCCAGATGGTGGCTGGCTGCTCCTGAGCCCGGGCACTCAGATCCTCTCTCCCAAGCAAGTCACAAAGCTCACAGCAGAGCCCCACTGGGGATGGGCGCAGGAAGAGATTCCCTGAGTGAAGGGCACTTCCCATGGACTTTGGGCAACTCCTTCCATTTTGACTCTCTTGGAAACAGAGGGCCTGCTCCCTCGCTGTGGGAAATCAGCTGTCACTCTCAATTTCAGGGGAACAGCTGACTTACCCCTGCAGCCTCAAGGGTCTCTTAACCTGTTTTTTAATAGGGAAGTGGTGATCTGGGGGAGTCTCTGGCTCCCACCTAACTTTCTTAGAAATCCAAGGAAGTTGGGTGCATAGAGACTTTGGCGGCTCAGGGCCACAGTGACTTGCCTAAAAAGCACCCAGCTGTTCATTAGGAAGGCCAGGAATAGCAAAGGTCATCTGAGTGTCATCTGTGCTTACTGCTAGACAACCCAGGGTTCGACTGAACATGTGTTTTAATACAGTTAAATGCGGGACCATTCTTCAAGGTTCCCTCTAATTTTTTTTCCATCTGAGGGCAGAATAAATTTTGTTACATGCACTGACACATGTGTGGATGTGCACCACAGTAGAAACACATGCTATTGGCTGTGGACACTCTGCTAATCATCTGGGAGGTATTTGAATCTCTCCTGGATGCCCTCCCAAGCGCTCAGCTTACAGAAAACTCTGGCCAACAAATGCAAACAAAATCTGTGAAGATTTTCAGAAGTGACTGGAGATTTGGGGGGGAAGAGCATGTTCTCCAGCTAGATACCTTTACCAGCCTTGCTTTGGGGAGAAAAGATGCTCAACATCATATTCAGAATCAGGCCCTTTTAAAGATGTCCAGAATGGGTCACTTTTTATGCTACACAGGTCCAATGCTGAAAGCATCATAGCTTCTATCAACACTTCACAAGCAGCAGCTAGGTCCTCGATGCATCTGAGAAGATCTTCATAGGTGCCTCTAAAGTGGTGCCTAATAAATATGGTTATGGAGGTCAGGAAAGATGTTAACCTAGCTATTGTCTAAACTGGATGTGTGCTTATTCCAGCTGCTCATCGTGTATCTGTCCCAATGTAAACCCCTAGGGAAAACTATGGAAGTCACTTCTATTGGTGCAGCTGGGTCTTGAATTGGGGCAGATTTCCAGCATACAAATGATCTTGAAATTCCCTCAGGAAATCAGATGTAGAACTGGTTTAAATAGTGAAATGTTTCACCATAAAACATTTCATTTTTTGAGAAAGAAAGAAAGAAAAATTGATTTTATTTAAATTACAACTTTGGTCTGGATTTTCAAAAAAAGTTTTCAATTTCAGGGTTTGGAATTACTTCTCCCCTCTTCCTTTTTTCCCCCACAGCAAATGATGGGTGAAAGTTGAAATGGGACAAAAAGTGTGTTTGATGGAAAAAGAGCAAAGCAAAAATCCAATTTGAAATTAAACAGAAGCTGTAATCACCAGTTTTGTTGTTGAAAATAATGTTTTCATGAGGAAAAACTCCATTTGTCACTAAACTTAATTTTTTGGCCAGAAAAATGTTTTACTTTCAACATGTCAATTCACTCTAATTAATTTAATCCTTTAAAAATCCCGCTGGGTAGCCTAAAACCTAACATCCAAATCCAAGTGGTAAAGTCCTAACAAGCATAGTTCACTCTAACAAAACACTAACTAAGGACAAACTTACAGTTATTAATGGATACCTTTAATTTGTGGTACTGTTGTTAGAATCTTGTAGTTAACATTTTTTGTCTGGGAAAAAGTCTTTCCTTGGTTTCTATTTCTTGCTATGTGTTTTAACAAATAAAACAAACAAAACATGTAGTTTATTATTTCTAATCTTTCCTCAGTACTATTTTAAGTGTTTGTTTGCTAAAAAAAAAAAATACATACACATTTTGGGAAAAGAATGGAAGAAAATGTTAATCTTCATATTACATGTAACACCATGTAGGTTTCATTCAAATAGAAGCAATAAGGTGACAATTGCAAAAGGGCTTGAAAAGCAAGGAGCCAAATCCACTGTGACACACTGTTTATTCTTGTGTATCCAATCCATGGGATCTCTGCCCCCAAAGATGATTGTTACAAGATTGGAAACAGTAAGGGCATATGACTCTCTTCCAAAGCTGGTCAACCAACATTTTCTCAACTTTAGGTTTGTTGACAAAAACTCTGAACATTTGGTTCAGAGGAAAAATGTCAAGGAAATCAGACATTCCCAACCAAGTTTTGATTAAAAACAATCCATGGGGAAATACATAGTTCCTGACCAGCTCTAGTCTGTCAGACCCAATCCCAACCCAAATGCATCATCCCATGCAACCTTGAGCTAAAGGGATAATTCCAGGGTGCTCCCTCTAATTTTTTTCCATCCATGTATGGAATAAAGTTTGTTGTATGCACTGAGGTATGTGCAGTTTTGCACCACCAGTGGAAACACATGCTGCCATCTGTGGGTGCTCTACTAATCTACTACCTGACTCTCTCCTGGGTAGCTGCCCAAGTGCATAGCTTACAGGGAACATGGGTAACTCCCCCAGCTGTGAGTGATCAATTGGATGTTGCAGTAGCCAGGACTGTGCACCAGAGGAAGATGTGGCCACATGTATTAAACCAATGACTTACACCTGAGCCTCAGAATCCTAGCTGTGAATTTCAGCCTCTGGTAAATTCGTAAATCCTTCACAACCGAAACACGTGAACAAATACCATCAATGCCGTTAGGACTGGGTTCACAAAGGCTTCCAAAATGTAACCTCTGCAGCACAGCCACTGTAAGCAATCAAAGAGCCCAAGTGAGTCCCCAGTATAAACATGGCTTTAAAACATCCTGAGATGTTGAAAACCATAAATGTAAGAATCTATTTACTCATAGTTCTGAGCCACTTGGAGTAATTTTTCCCAACTTTTCTCCCACACCATCAGGATCAGAAAATAACTTTTTAAAAAGCTGAAATTTTCCTATAGCCACATGACTTTTTTGGAACAATATCACAAACAATGTCAATGAAAAGATAAAAATGTGTCTCATTCAGATTGACTTAGTGAAACTATTTGTCTGTCCCTTGGTTAGCTCTAGCACTAGACCTGCCTTTTATCCTCCTCTTGTGGCTGGAAAAAGGATTACAAGTCTGTGTCACCCTTGGCCCTGCAACTCAAGCAACAGGGGAGTCCCAGGTTCAAACCCCACTCAGGGAAGCCAGGTTCTGGAAGGGCTTAATTGGCAGGCGGGGAGAGTTCATCATCAGCATCATCCACCACAATAATAGTAGCATGAAGCTTCCGGTGCTGCGCCAGCTGCGAGGGAAAGCAGAACCCTTTTCCACACTGGTGGCAGCGGTGAGGCCGCTCCCCAGTGTGGATGGCCTGGTGCTGCACCAGATTGGAGCTCTGGGCAAAGGCACGGCCACACTGCCCACAGGCAAAGGGCCGCTCACCGCTATGGGTCATTTGGTGCTTGCGCAGCACCTTGCCATCAGCGAAGCTCTTGCCACATTGGTGGCAGCAGTAGGGTCGCTCCCCACTGTGCAGCCGCTGGTGCCGCAAGAAGCTGGAGCTATCGCTGAAGGCCCGGCCACATTTGGGGCACTTGTATGGGCGCTCCCCAGTATGAGTGCGTAGATGTTGTGTCAGGTTGGAGCTCTGGGCAAATGCCTTGCCACATTGGTGGCAGCGGTGGGGTTTCTCTCCAGTGTGGACTCTCTGGTGCTGCGTGAGGTGTGAACTCATGCTGAAAGCCTTCCCACACTCAGTGCATCGGAAGGGTCGCTCCCCAGTGTGGATCCTCAGGTGCTTGAGGAGAGGCGAGCGGTCTACAAAGCCCTTGTGGCACTGAGGACAGCGGTGGGGGTTGTCAGGGCTGTGCAGCCGCTGGTGCTTGACCAGCTGGGAGCGCAGGCAGAAGCCCTTCCCACACTGCGGGCAGATGTAAGGCTTCTCCGCCAGGTGGGTCTTCTGGTGCTGCGTCAGGTTGGAGCTCTGGCTGAACCCTTTGCCACACTGGTGGCAGCGGTGGGGTTTCTCGCCAGTGTGCGTGTACCGGTGCTCAATCAGGTGCGCTCGGCGGCCAAATGCCCTTCCACAGTCAGGGCAGCAGTAAGGCCGCTCTCCAGCATGGATACGTCGGTGCTGGGCCAGCCGGGAGCTGTCGGCAAAGCCACGCCCACAGCTGGGGCAACAGTAGGGGCGCTCGCCCGTGTGGGTACGGGCATGCTTGGTGAGCGACGAGCTGTCCACAAAGCCTTTGCCACACTGGGGGCAGGTGTAGGGCCGCTCCCCTGTGTGGGTCCGGCCGTGCTTAACAAGGGACGAGCTGTCGGCGAAGCCTTTGCCGCAGTCGGCGCAGCGGTAAGGGCGCTCGCCCGTGTGCATGCGCCGGTGCTGCGCCAGGTGCGAGGGCCAGGTGAAGGCTTTGCCGCAGTCCCCGCAGGCGTAGGGCTTCCCTGAGTTGGCGGCGGGAAGCGTCATGAGCAGCCACTCTGGATCAGGGCTGGGGGACAACTCCCACTCGGACCCTTCCGACAGCACCCCATCCTCCAGGCCAGGACTCCACTCCTCGTCCCCTTTCTGCGCCCCGTCACCGGCTGGAACGACATGGAAATGGATCATCCCTTGCTGGGCTGAAAAGCAGTCTTCCAACCCCCACCCAAGAGACAGGGCTGGCCGAGAACCACTGTCCTAGCACAACGCCCAAGCATGGAGAAGGACTGGAATCCAGAACAGGCTGGAGTCCAGAGAGCAGCTCCCATAAGGGCTTATGAGGAAGGAATGTCAGTGTAAACGGATAAATGTTTACAGAGACAGCATCTGGGAGCGAGTGGGTGAGCAGTTGCTCCTGAAGCCCAGGATCCTTGAAATTGCTAGCGTGGCACTCCAAGCAGCTCTGGGCTGGGGCGAGGGGCACCCGTCCCGGGAGCACAGAGCAGCCCTCTCTCCCCCAAATCCCAATTTGCCCCAGAGCCTGCAGAGGCTGTTGGCTCCCTTGGTCACAACGAACACCTGTTGCATTGTTGTGACAATTGCTGGTTCCGGTGCAAATTTTGATGAGAGCTCAGGACATCTTGGGGAGCTGGGGTTCACTAGGAAGTGTCTGTCTCTCACCTGCCAATGTTCCTGGCGGGCCGCAGCTGTCACTGGAGCACCCCGGATCCCGCGGGCACGGCTCTACCTCCGGCTCCATCTGGCTCTCCCGGCTGGCTTGGGGCTGGGAAATAGAGCAGTGGGGAGAGTGGGGCAGGGTGAAACAGCTGTCACAAAGGATGCTCTGTGAGTTTGAACATCTGGAGGAACAGCTGATTGCGGTACATGGCAGAAGGGACCAAGCCACTCACCCGCCCAGCAGGCGAGTCCCGAAGGCAAAACACCTGGGTGGATGCAGCGAATGGGGCAGGTGATGGGGGCCAAAGGAGGGAGCTGTGGGGCCAGTGGAACCAGCCTCCACAGCCTGGGGGCTGATCTACGCCTGGCTGCAGGGTAATAGGGCCCAATACAGATGTGGCCAGAGGTCAGTGGAAGAACAAGTCCCGGGACAGAGCTACTGCCCCTTACCTGCGTGGATGGAAACCCCCCTCCCGCTGCTTGGAGGCAGCTGTGCCCAGGGGTGCAGACATGCCCCCAGCTCCAGGGGCTGGAAGCAGACAGGTCTCTAGTGAGGACGCTGCCCCAGCCAGGGCGAGGGGAGCGGGGGCAACATCTTGTCTATAGACCCAGCTGGGTAGGGA